TTTTTTTTTCTCGTAGCTGAGCATTTCTTGTCGCTCATAAAAATGTGAAGTGAGCGTTAAGAGCATTCCTTCCTCGCTTAGATTGGATCATATCACGACAACTTAGCTCTAGTGATGGACATAGGCAGCTGTGGTTGTCATGCTGTTGCATGGAATGGAGAATCTGATATACCTCACCTAACCACTTCTAAGACTTATACTCTCACTGAAAGTGACCTTTCTAGGGTAAAGCCGTCCTAGGTCTTTATGTTTCCAAGATACCAATTTGCTTCGAATGTTTGTTTTGTAGCTTGCTGATCTTCGCAAATTGATTCGTAATGATGCTGAGAAGGAAGGAACTGAGTCACACGAGCCTGCTCAGGAAGCAGAAGCTGCTAAAGAAAGCCCAGTCAGAAGAGTTACCCAAGTTGAACCTGTGGTTGTAGAGGAAAGCGGAAGCAAGTGAGCGCTGTATTATTTTGATCTGTGCTAAAGTTTTTTTGTAGCTCAGTACCTAAAAAGAAACGCCATTCTTCCGAAGATATTGCTAATGCCATGGATATTCCAAAACTCGGAAGCAAGTTCTTCAATTGGTATGCTCAGGTTGGTGAATGCAATCCTTTTATTTTTCATTCTATTCTGACTCAGTGTAATTGTTATGTAGGTCCTTGGTGTATATAAAGGAAAGGGAGAGCCGTTTACTGTTTTTGTCAGGGCATGGGATGGCACAAGGCCAAGGTATGTTCTTTTTTGGCAATAGCACTTTATTAATTTTTCAAGACACATGATCAGCAAACAGTCAGCCATGGTTTCCACATTACAGGTTCCCAGCATATCGCAATATGTTTCATGCGGATAAGGACTCTATTGATACAGTCTATTGTGATATATCTCCTCAGCTCTATTTCGTGATTGACTCATGCACAGTCGACATCTGCCTTTACGGTGACTGGGCCAGAAAGGCATCAAGTTTTCAAGTGGGCTCTCCAGTTTTTCTCTCTCTTAGCAAAAACATTGAAATATCATGGATCTATGACACACAGTCTTGCGTTTTTTCAAACCATTAAAAACAGATGATTGTCTTATAGAGTGATTTATATGTAGTACATTTTTCTGGTCAGCGTGGCTTGAAGTTAATTTTTTATTCGAATCAAGCTGACCGGCTCAAAAGGATAGAGTCAAAGTGGGTTGACCTAATTCGAATGAAATTTCATCTTGGATATCACGGGTGTTTTCCTTTGAGGTAAGAGTCGGTAAAAAATGAATTAGCGAGATTTGATTTTTAAATTTGAAATGTACTCTGGCCGATCCTCATGAAGTGTAGAGGCACCAGCTTAGTTATTCTCTCTGCAACTCAGATTTTGTGCTATTGTTGCGTTAAAGAATGCCTCATGAAGTTCATGCAAGTGCATACTTTGAAATAATACAACAGAAATGAAACACCATTTACAATATTTGTTAATAATGCGACTCAGTGCTAGCCACACGTTTGCTTTTTTGGGGAGTGATCAAATTTTGACTTTTGCAATTCCTTTCCGTTTGATTGAGTTATATCTCATACTACAAATCCTGGTTGTCCATTTGTCCGTCTATCTTCAGGTCAGAGATATAATTTATCTATGCAACATACGAAACTACACTTCTCAAACGAACGGAATATCAGCAATAACCATGCATGAAGGAGGATTGCAGTTTGGACGCGCATTGGAAGTCTTGGATGAGTCGAATCCTAAACATTTTGAGATATCAAAGTAGGTTGGATATTATGCTTTATTCCCTTAAGTTAGTCGTTTCATTATTTAGGCAATGCGCTGATACGTTATCGCGGTATCTCGGTGCATCCACTTTCTCACAAAATTCGAGTTCGGGTAAGTTCCTCAAAAATCCGGGATGAGTCAGTCCTTAAATTCTTCAGTTGTAAATATGACGCCTATACTACCTGAAAATGTAATGGCTCAGTCCACCCCTATGTTTTCCAAAAATAGTGAAGCTGTGGATGAAAATAGTAGTGCTGGGACTTCGAAACAGCCACATGGATCTTGTATTGACAAAGACTATTCATCAGATTCCTCTACTGATTATGCGATTTGCGAAGTATGTTCGGTGATAGCATTTATCCAACTTTTTATTAAAGATGAATACTAGAATATGGATTTGTAGCCCAGAAGCACTCACGAAGCAGACGAAATTTTTGCCCCTGAAACTCCACTGGAAGAGATGCCGCGAGGTTCCAATGATGGACAAGCGGTGCGTTATCAAACTAACTTTTTAGCTTTTTTT